TCTGTGATCAACGCCAACAGTCTAATTCATTTTCTAATCTCTTATCTATTAGCTGCCAAACTGGCAGAAAATTAGGACCAAGCATAAAAACATATTTATGCATTTTCTGCATCACCAACTGAAGCTGTAGGCTTCTGTGGCAGAACAATGCGTACAGCGCGCGATACTGTAACTGCACAGCTTCAATCAGTGGATTTACCAACACACAGCTCAACACATTACCTCAGGTGAGAACCAGTGTGGCTCAGAGAGAATGCGAAAAGGAGACGCTTCTTACAGGCAACTTAAAACCTCAAGTGTGAACAAACTTCCTCCAGAGCAGGTTAGCTGTGCAGCATCAGTTACCATGGTGACCGAGCAGGTTACAACAGAGCATCACAACTTTAGCTCTGTTTCTAATCTGCTTACTTGATATTTACACATGTGTAGCGCCTGTACAGAGGTGTGCAGTGAGTCTGGTATTAATAAAACTTGTGCTGTGACAGTTTGTCGTACTCACTCCGCGTTGTGTGTTTGTTCGTTGTGCTGGACGGGCTCCGGCCAGGAGGCGCTTCCCTCTCCTCGCTGCTTCTCCCGGGCTCTCCTCCTCCGTTCGCGCTCCACCTCCTCAGCATCCTCCTGGCTGCGCTGCGCCGTCACCCTGCAGTCAGCGACACCAGCAGCCCGTCAGACCTCATGCACGCACTCTTCACAAAACTCGTCTGGACATATTTAGAATCAGTTCGAATGATGTTTGGCAACACAGAGGAACTTTTGGCTTGTGAGGTTTAAGGGATTAAATAAAAAGATCAGTGAACCTCCAGTTAAGTCACCATGAAGCAGAAAACCACAAAGACGTTATGCAGTAGATTTCTCTATATAACTGTCATCTGTTTGCTGCTACTTGGTCACTTTTAGCGTCGAAGAGGAAGAAAATGTGGCTAAAAGTGTGTGGACACCCAAACATGACACTCATATGTGATTAATTAATGCTCTAACAGCCTCCACTCTTATGGTTTCAGTTTTTTGCAGCAGAGAATTATTAATGTGTGGATGGATGTGGTTGGGGTCACGGCTCAGTCTAGTATCAAACCATTTCTTTATGGAGCTGGCTTTGCTCATATGTCATGTTGAAACAGGGAAAAGCCAAACAAAGTGTTTCCACAAAGAACGCTGTTGTCCAAAATATCACTCAGAGAACCAAACGATAAAGAACACTGATACATCTGACGTCCAAACTGACACATCAGCTGCTCAAGTGACCACGTTGGCACCAAACAACACCTCATTTCCTGTTGGCTCTTTGTCCAGTGAAACGTATCTGTGGAAAAGTTCACATATGAGGAGTTTTCAGGCAATAATTTAAAAATTACAAAAAAAAAGAACTACTGGTTGTATTTCACAGAAAGCTCATTTAGTTCTGCTGTCCGATGGGTTTTCAGTTTCCAGTGGGTGGAACTTGATAACAATAACTCCTTTTATTGTCCAAGCACATCTGGTGGAGCTCCAGCCAGCTGCTGTGCTGTTTCGCTTAATCTCAATCTCTGGAGGAAAACTTACAGAAAGAGGAGGAGGAAGAGGTGACGAGATGGAGGAGACGCAGGACGGAGGGCGGAGAGAAACTCCATGTCACATCTCATCGTACTAATGGAGATCTGGAGAAAACTTGTCAGGAAACTGGACTAAGAAGAGCTCTGGAAATATTCAGTCAGCTATCTGATTGGCTGGGAGCTCGACATCACCTGCGTACGTCTGGAATCAGCACCTGTTGTTGGGCACAAAACAACTTTTCCAAACTGTGCTGTCATCGGTTTTACGGGAAAATTCCAGTTTATTGCAGCTTGGATCCTATTTTTGTATCAGTCAGGACGACAATGAACTCATCAAAGTTAACAGCTAAGATTTGGAAACACAGTAACATCACTAAAATGACTTTTGGGTAGCTTTTATGGAGAAGAAAATTAAAGCAACTGATAAGCTTATTACACAAACTGTCTGAAAACATCCAAACCTGAGAAGTTTGGACTTTAACGTTGACTTTTTTTGTGCATTGAAGAATCATTACTGACATTTCAGCTGCACCCACTTTTACTTTTACCTCCAAATAAAAGTGATTTACATGCAGATGTGCTGGCAAAACTGTACATCAAACAGTTTTCGGATAACTGAACAAATAATTGCTGATGTTCTAGTTGTTAACAAGTTGAACACGTACTGTAGCGCAGTTTCAAACTTCTGCAAAATTCACTAAGACTCACACTCTCAGAGAGTCTCTTGTCTCTTCGCCACCAGCAACCTTCACATCTCCGCTTCAAAATCTCACTCTGTTTGAAAAGTTCTGCCGGCTGCTAAAATCTGTTGTTAAAAGCAACTTGTTAATTCAGTGATGATCTCAAAGCTGCAGCAGCATCGTGGAACAAGACCAGGCCAAAGCCTTGAGCTTGTTGGTTCTCATTAATAGAACACATGACAAATGTAAACCATTTGTCTTTGTTTGGGCCGGTTGTGGGTCAATTCACCCAAAAAAATGTGATTAATTTTTCCAACATGTCAACCCCCTCGGTTCATCGGGGATTTTTCTGCATGAAGTCATCAAGAAAAAATATCTTTGTAGTGCAAAAGTCTAATTCAACTATAAAAGACTGAGGGAAGTGTCGTCGGTTAAGGCTGCTGGTGAGGACGCCGGCCACGAGGGGCTCAGAGTCAAACGGGCTGCGGTCAGTGTTATGTGGGAAAGTGACCTACATAAGACCACACTCACTGGAGATGCAGCAGGAGCCATATTGGCAAGAGTCAGTCTTAAGTTCGCAGTAAATTGATGTGATGTGTGACAGCGCTGGTTTGGCTTCTCAGTCCGGCCATTTTTTTTCAGAAGAAATGGGTCAGCTGGGATCAGGTCTGATTGTCTGGACCTCATCATCGCTGAATGGATGTAACAAAGGGAGGGAAGGAGCATGAAATCCTTTAAGGACCAGATTGATATGCTGCATATTTTAGTCCACTAACTACAATTTATTGCCGCATATGTGACTAAAACCATATCTGAAAAGCATTTACTCAAGTTATCGAACTGATTCCTTTAGAACCAGCTACCATCACTTCTTTACTTCATTCATTGCACAAGTAAGTGAGTAACTCGGGAACATATCAGTGAACAATTACTTTCTTTTGCAATCGTTTTTACTTGGCCAGTGAATGTTTCCTGATCAGAAAGCGAGCCAAAAGCAAAAAAAAAAACGAGGCCAAACGCAACATGAGGCAGAATAAAGGAACTGAAATCTAACGTCTAGCCAGGTGGTGAAACATGTGAATACGAGGATTTCACACAGTTTTTCATGTAAATGAGCTGATAAAAGGAGACTAAAGTTACCCCCAGTCTCCTTAAAATAACATAAATACAGCAGTGATTTGTTTCTCAAATTAACACATGATGACAAACATCATGGCTGCCTGGATCATGTTCACAGACAAGAAATACTTTGCAGTACATTATGACTTACGCGATACCTCTCAGAAAGCACAGTGAGGCGGTCAGTTGGGGTGGATTGTGGACGTATAAAGTGCAGGACCTGCATAATTACAATTAAACAACCAAACTAATTTTGCTTGGGAAACATTGTTGTCTCAGATAAAGTTACACTGAACAAAAACATAATTATGAAATATTCTCTTGAATTCTGTCCATATTTTTTCACATAAGAGAGCAAGTGTTTGCTGTTCTAACAAACAACATCTCTACAACAGAATGGAAGTCGCAAAACAACAAAGTACAACTATATTGGAAAAGATAATGAGCAGATCCAGAGTGGGGTCATAGATCAGAAATCACAAGTCAGTAATAAGTGTGTCTACTATTTGCATCTTGTGATGTATAGAGTCAATTAGGTTGTAAATGCTGCTTGTGGAACATTGTCCTGCTCTTTGTGATGGGCTTGGAAAAGCTGACAGCATTTTGGAAGACATGGTCCACGCTGCTGGACGTCCAGAGCATCACATGGTCGACTATCTGCTGTACCTGAAATGATTTCTTAGACGACAAATGGCGGATTTGTTGACCATCAAGTGCTTGTCTTTCTCTTGTCATCTGTAGCATGTCATTTGCGTAAAGCTGTATTTTAAGGTGGTCCTTCATAGTCAGTGCTTCCACTAAACATTGTGTTTTAAAGTCACACCTGACAAACTCAGAGGTCAAAATTATGACAACAACAGACCATCTCAAAAAAATTTGAACAATTGGTCAAATTTAACAGTTTTCTAACCAAAACAATAGAAAGGAGATTCATAACTTTTCCTTTTACCCAGACAAGAGGATCACTTGGATGCTGCCTTTATATTTTTTTGTTCAGTGTGTAATAATCAGTATTGGGCAAGATGCTTAACTTGCAGTTACTTTACTGAAGCTAGAACAAGGATAACATGACAAAAATAACTAGTTTGGTCATTTTCTCTCTATAGACAGTGAAAAAAAAAACAAAAAAACAAGTAGCTAGCTTGTAAAATTAGCTTCTGCTGGTTACGTATACATCCGTGTACACTTGCTCTAAAAGTGGACGTTAAATACCGCTGGCCTGGGTCAGTAAAACTTCTGAAAACCTGTCTGGTTCAGCTACCAGCCTCATCACCACCAAACCACCGAGACATGTAGTCAAACTAGCTGCTACTTTAATCGACGCTAAAACCAAAACATTCCCGATTTGTAACATTTCCGCAATAAAATGCATAAAAACGAGTAAACCAGTGTCATATATTTAGCTGAATTAGGTACGGTTACCTGACAGTTGTGCCATATCCCCGTTAATCACCTGTAACCCTGGAAACACAAGAAGAAGAAGAAGAAGAAGCGGAAAAAGAGGAGGAAGAAGAAGAAGCAAACTAACTATATAGCTAGCTTTTTCTTTTTCTTTTTTAAATGAGTATGAATATTTATTATGAATTATTTGATTACGAATCACATGCTAGATGCCCAAAGATTAGCTACTATAGCTGCAATTTAACGCTAAATTAGCAATTACCATTAGCCCACATAACCTGCGGCTATTTCATTCAAATAAAATGACAAAGTGCGAATTGGATAACTGACTAACCGTAGCGTAAATAAAAGTTTAATACATTACGTCGTATCTGAACGTGATTTCTGCCTGGGTCGTCCACATTTAACAGATTTTCATTTGCAATTGTGGGGAAGACTACCACTCCCATGATCCCGCGCTCCTTCATACGTCATCAACATGCGTCTTTTCATT